AGGGAGAGGCTCTATTCTCTCCATTTCAGATCTGCGCATGGATACCGATTTTCACATTGAGACAGTGTCTCTAAATGCTGTACTTTAAGAAACATAACTGAGATCTGGACTTTCTTCTACTTTGTCATTTTCTGCCTGTTCTCTTTTCACATCTTAACTACTACATGCCTTCTCTGATCTTACAAGCTGTGTCTGTTCCACCCCTTCCCTGGTTCTCGTTTTCCTGGCTCGGTTGGGTGTATAGCTGTTCTCTGTATCTGTATTCAGTCAGTGGTTCCCCACGTTTGTCTCTACCTTTGAGGGCTGACGTGACTTAGAATTCTTCAGTTATCCTCTCTTAAAGAGTTGCTGGATCTCAGGCCATTACTTGTTCCAAAAGGATTGCCAGTTTTGAGTTATTATGAAGCTTTCCAACAAGAATGTTTATTTTCTGCTATTAAAATTTTATTTGGCTGAAATATGTACAATATTGATAAATGTTATATTAATGTGTGCAAAATGTATGTTAGTGGAACTAAATGTGAGCAGAAGCAAGTGGCAGTAAGATGCTGTGGGAGAAAGGACAAGCAGATGGTGACAGAAACCACTCTATGAATTTGTAGTTGCTGCTGACTCCAGATGACATGAAGTAGTAGTATTATTGATTTGGTTTCCAGTAGGATATGTAGCAGAGTGAAAACTGTTTAATTTGCAGTTTCTTTCTGGTAATTTAATCAGCAGAATAAACAAAATAGTATGTTGAGTCTTTTCTTGTACCCTTTGTGCTTCATCCTCCCATGTGTGGCATGCCTTTTTGTAATTAGGGAAGTGATATTTATAATAAGTAGGTTCGCTCTGTTTCCATGGAACTATGTTTCTGAGATGCTGTTGAAATACTACCTAAATAAAACCAGAATTTAAAAAACAAATCTTAATTACTTCACTTTCATTAATGTCTAAACTACACTTGAATCAAAGAAGCATCAGGAAAGATCAATCACAGATAAACTATGAACATAGTAGTAGAAGTTTGAAGAGCTTCTAGATAAGTTTCTTAACCTGTGTTAAGTCTGAGGTCCGAACTGTACTGAAAGATCATGCCTGAGGAAGAAGCAGTACCTCTCTTCAACTGCCACCCTTGCAATAGAACCATCAACAACACCCTGAGGTACCTGTGGCATTCTGAGCAATCAGCACCCCAGTGCTCACTTCCAAGGGGGAAGTAAGCGACTGCTAGATACTGGAATAAACGTTCACAAAACATCCTTAAAGGGCAAAACAGTTGTAAATGTCTAAAGTCAGTGACTGTGAGGCTGTATGAGTTCACTTTATGAGCTATTTTTAAGTTAACCTTAGCTACTTAAAATATTACATGAAACTGCATATTTCAACAAAATTCCAGATTCATTACATTTTTTGCCTTACATTGTTCCACCTTTCCTTCCCTTTCATTCCAAAATTGGAGACCCCTGTGTTAGAGATTCAGACAATGAATCCTTTTATCTAGCACTTGCATTCATTATTCATTGTGGATTGCTACTTCAGGCTTGAATTAGAGATAATTAATCTTAGGAAAGCACTTGTAATTTCACACTTTATGAAGAACTGTTGTCTCAGCACAGCAGTGCTGTGGTGACAAAATAATGCTCGTTGTTGCCGTTCAGTATCATATCTCTTAATATTTATGTGCATTCAAGTCTTTATTTTGCTTGTCTGTACGTTTATGTTACAGCAGTCATGCTTCTGTTTTGCTTTGGAAATATTTTTTGCTATTTTTATTTTATATAGAATTGCAAACAGAAGTAGGTTAAATTGTTGTTTAAATGGTGAGGTTAGGAAGACCTTTATCCTTTTCAATACTGAAAAGGAGAACGTGGAGAAGTGATGGACTTTACAGCAAGAGGACGCAAGTAGATTCCCAATTTGGCGTGTTACTTCAGATGATGAGTTAAATTGGTAGCTGATAATTGAACAGATACAGTCTACACTTAGAAGCTAAGGCCTGATGTTTTCCATCTGGCGGCTGACTGTTTCTAAACCTTCTTGCTATGCATGTGGCTTTCTAGGAGCTCTAGTTGCGTGTGAGAGCATGTATGTAAGAACTTTACTCAGGACATTGATTTTATGTATTGCAACCTCTTTGTTTAGTTTACACATCTGCATAGGGAACAGTTCCTGCTTTGTATCTTACAATATCTTAGAAGCTATTCTAAAAATACCGATCTCTTGACAGTACTTACCACTGATATTTCTAGAATGCTGAAAGAGTAAAATTACAATCTACGCTCACATGAAGGTACAGAGAAGTGATTCAGTGCAAAGTTACCAGAGGTCTCTTAGTTGCACGTCATACAGAGGGGAATGTTTTGAAGTAAGTATCGATGTATGCTTGTCCCACTCCTCCTTTGTATGCTGTTGATTGCCGTAGGAGATGAAAAACTGACAGCTAAAAATGGACTTTTTGTTTCACTTAGCCTTCCTGCTAAGTGGAAAAAAAAATTGCTAAGGCCTTTTAAAATGC